GGAAAACATCTACGACGATGACAAAGTAGACAACTCAAAGGAAAGCCAAGATGAAGAAGTAGAGCCACCCGTAAACGAGGAACAACCACAAGAGGAGGAAACGCCAATGCCAAGGGCATGGAGGACTTCAAAGAACCATCCTCTTGACAAGGTGATCGGTGACATCAACCGAAAGGTAAGTACTCGTAGCTCTCTCAGGAACACCGTAGGTCACATGGCTTTTGTTTCTCAAATTGAACCTACAACCATTTCGGAAGCAATTGATGATGAACATTGGACCTTGGCAATGCAAGAGGAGCTTAACCAATTCAAACGAAATGACGTTTGGGAATTGGTGCCAAGACCCGATGATCATACCATAATTGGGTGTTCCGTAACAAACTCGATGAAAATGGAATAATCACTAGAAACAAAGCTAGGCTCGTAGCTAAAGGCTACAATCAAGAAGAAGGCATTGATTTTGAAGAAACTTATGCACCGGTAGCACGTTTAGAAGCTATTCGTTTATTACTCGCTTTTGCTTCATCTATGGATTTTAAACTATACCAAATGTATGTTAAGAGTGCCTTCCTCAATGGTTTTATTCAAGAGGAAGTGTATGTTGATCAACCCCCGGGCTTTGAGGATTTTGAGCACCCGGAGTATGTCTCTAAACTAAAGAAAGCACTCTACGGTCTTAAACAAGCACCTCGTGCTTGGTATGAACGTTTGAGCAAATTTCTTTTGGACAACGGGTTCAAAAGGGGGAAGGTTGACACTACACTTTTTATCAAGAGTAAAAACGATAACATCCTCTTGGTGCAAGTTTACGTAAATGACATTATATTCGGTGCTACTAACGAATCTTTGTGCAAGGAATTTTCAAACTTAATGACAAATGAATTTGAGATGTCCATGATGGGGGAACTCAATTTCTTCTTGGGGTTACAAGTCAAACAAATGAGGGAAGGGACCTTCATTTGTCAATCAAAGTATTGCAAGGAGCTCCTAAAGAGATTTGAAATGGATGGCTC